TTTATAATTACCTCTTTTTTGAAATATTTAATTATTAGCTATACTACAACAAAATTTGCATTTGTAGTTGATTTATCAATACGCATGATATTGATGATCGACTTTAGAAGTAACTCCGTTGTTATTGATCTATCTTATATTCTAATTTATCCGCTTTTTCAGTTCTACATAAGCAAAGTAGAAAAATATTTCTCTTATTTTTGTGCCGTCTGCTGAGAATTATTCCCTTCTACGTATAATTATATATAATATGTGTGTTGTGTGTATATTATATAACATAATATTTATAACACTAAATGTAAAACACTAATAATAATCTTATAAAAATAATTTGTAATTTTAATGTTACCATAAAACAAATATTAAAAACCTTGAATTAATAATATATACCTCGTAATATACTTAGCTAGTAATCGACGGGATTAGGATATATGTTAAAGAGATCGAAAAGTCCGCACGCTTACGCAACGTCACGTGAGTTGAATTAATAAGGACTAACGCTCTGCCTGTTGCCCTAACGTGATTCAATAACGATAAGAGAATATACAGAGATTTGATAATTAAATTAGTTAACAACAAATAAACATTCAAATAAGTATCCAATTTTTCAAAATCTATGTTATTATAAAAAAACTTCTAACAAACTTTCTAACTTTTTTTATATCTTTCTAACTTTTCAATATCTTCCATCGTTCTCACGGGAATTCCTAGCTTTTTCTTTACGATCCCTAAAGGCTTACGAGGTAGATTGCAGGGAGCAAACAGTATTTACATCAGAAAATGAAGTTGTAAACATCTTATCTTAGGAAATAGGAATTTTAATATAAATATTTATATCAAATTAATATAAAAAGATTATGCACAATATTTGATGTGTTTCATTAACGTGCTACATAATTCTTGTTTTCTTTGTTCTAATCCAAATCTATTATCTTTTTTAAATCTAATCACATATGCATGTGAACACATAAAAAATAGTGGAATTTTTATATACATTTTATATATAATGTAATTAATTATAATAATGTAATATACTTAATATACCTATGTGTGAGTACACATTTTGATATCTTTATCTTGCATTTTATTGAAAAAAATTTTTTAAATTAAACATAATATTGTAAAAAGAATAAAATCCCGAAAAAAAAGAAACACGATCATATAAAATTATATATAAGTGATAAGATCCGAAATGTGGCGCAATCTGATATAATCTTATATGATCATGTTTTCTATTTTTTCTCGGAATGTACAAAAAGTTAAACATTAAAGGCCTGAAAGATTGTCGTAAATATTGTTATATATAAAAACTTATTTTGTAAATTTTATATGTATTTACATATATACTCGGTATCTAACAACAAACGACCAAGTCGACGTGTGTAGGTAGATTGCGAAAATCTGAACAGAAAAGTTATTTATCATGTTGCAAAATTCGCAATAGTTATTGAGATATGAATTAATAAATGTGAGCTAATAAAATAATAATTTTATTAATATATATATATAATTCCCGCGCGGGCGGGAATGATCGGACTCTATAGGCGTGAACAATTATCAGCTGGAAAGAAAACTGACTTTTCTTATGCAATGTCTTAGCAACGAGAGGCAGAATAAATAAACAAGCGCGGCGCGACTCAGCTTCTTGCGATCGAGCGCTATTCGGCGGTACGCAGCGAGCAGCGGCGAGCGAGGAGTAGAGCTAATAATTGTGCACTCCTATAAAGGCTGCGTTCGTTTTTTACTGGCAGTACTGAAAATCTATAGATTCATGTCACGTATACTATAGATTTTTTAGTACTGCCAGTAATAACCAAACTGGGTCAGAGTCGATCATTGCCCCCCGCGCGCTTATTAACTCACATTTATTAATTCATATCTCACTATTGCAAATTGTGCAAAATGGGAAATAACTTTTCTGTTCACATTTATCCGATCTACCTACAAACGTTGGTTGATCGTTGTCAGACACCTTGTGTATATATATATTTATTTATTTATTTATTTTTCTTCTGATACTGGAGAAATTACATTTATTAATATCAGTTTGTTTTTACGTTTTGTAACACCATATTATTCAAACAACAATATTTAATAAATATATAAATTGTACACATAGATTTTTAGTATTCAACTAAATAAGAAATAATAAAAGCCAATAAGTGCTTTTCCCCTTTTTTTTAAGGAAGTAAAAGATGTTTCTATATAAAAAGCAAATTGAGCATCTAATATAATACATTTTTTAAATAAAATTAAATTTAAATTTAATTTATAATTTATTTTCAATTTATATTTTTACAAAATATTTTTTTATTTATATCCAGTGCTTTACTGGTCTTATTATATCTTTTATACTTCTATTATACCAATATTTGCTATTCAAAAAATTGTAATACTTAACAGCTAGTTTTTGAGTATTTCTTTTAAATTGATATGCTACACACGGTTAAATAAAATGCAATGTACCAAGAGCAAACAAAGCAGTAAATTATATATTTAATATTCGTTGAATGTTTAAATAAAAAGATAAAAAAAAGGCCATAACAAGCTAACACCTGATGTTCGGGTAAAATTCTCTTTTAATTTGAAGATTTTAAAAAATTTTAACAAACGTTTTGATTCACTATGGGATCTTCTCCAGTGTTTTAATAAAAAATTACAAAAAAATCATGATTTATTCAAGATCATGAAGAATATGAATAAGAAAAAATAAGCTACATAGATATTTAGTATGAGAAAAAGAGAAGCGGAAATGACAGCTAAGTAACCGTCAGTATTACGCAAGAGGACGCAAAACGTCCTCCCGCTTCGAATGCAACTGACAGACCCTTTTTCCTATCTTTTTATCGAAGCAATAAACTTTTTATTTACTTAAGTTTAAACTGTTCAGTCAAATTTTAAGTTTTGCTAGTTACAACATAAAAATTAATAATAAAACATTATACTGAGAAAGTGAAAAGTTTTATCGAGCAGAATTCGACATGTCAGTATGTATAAGATAAATAAAATTGGAGAAATATTTTCGAAGTGCCTTATCGAGAAGAAATTAAAATATTGTAATTTTTTTGTAACTGTTGAACAATCAATAAGCAAATATTGTTAATGCATTTAATATATTTAATTTAATTTAAACAAGTATCTAAAAATTAGAAAGATTTCAGATTACAAAACTTTTATAACAAATTATTACAATTTATACTCATATTTCCAGGATCTAAATTAATTTCTTTTTAAGTTAAGAAAGTTTAGGTTTTTTTGTATATAAAGAATAAAAATATTTTTCCATTAATCTACATTAATGTACGTCAATTCAAAATTAATAAACTTTAAATATTTTAAGAAAAGGTTTTTAAAATATATTATTAAAAATACTTTCTAAAAGTTAGATTGAAGTTAGCAAAACTTTATAATAAACTTTATAATAAACTATAAATTATATATAAACAAAAAATATATATCATTAATTGTATCATATAACAACTTTTTTAAAAATTATTAAAAAATTTTAAAATGAGGCAATAGTAATGAAATAATGTATGTTATAGATCCCAATATGCTATACTAAAATAATTACATTGTAGGTGACTTAGTGTAAAAAAAAAGAAATCACACAGCTCTAATGTCTTGCTTACTAAATACAAGAAAATATTCTTTTTTTTGTTATTAAAATTGTGCTAGTTACGTAACTTTATAAAATAGATTTTATTAAACACATGGCATAAAGTATTTACAAGCACCTTTAGAAAATTAGAAGTTTTATCTCTATATTTTAGTTATTTTAGTGATAAAAATTGCAATTTTATCTTAGGAAGAAAGAAATAAGAAATATAATAATATAATAATATTTTTAAATCATTTTTCTTATATTTATTTAATGTTATTGCAACAAATATCTTATAGAAAATAAATATATCATTTATTAAAATTAAACGTTCAGAATAAATTGATTTAAATGAGAAGAGATTAGTTGTCACACGATGAATATGTGCGTGAGAGTAATCGCTGTTCAGCGCGTTACTTAAAGTATAACATTTCTAAAAGTCATTATATTTCTTGTCATTATATTTTCATTGTTGTAATAAACAATTGTAATAAAAAAAATCAGAAAGTATGGACGTTATAATTCTTCTATATAAGAAACATGTGACAATTAATTCTTTATTGGATACCTACGTTAGCAAAGCACGATCGTATTGTGCAAAGCGCTAAATAACTTTTTTTGTATAAAAATATAGTCAATTAATATTTTTTCTTAAAACAAAAGGATGTGACTGTTACATGTATTCAATATTACGTAATATTGCGTATATTTTATTTTTTTCTAAATAATTTATTTTGGATGTCACTTTGCTTGTTTCTCCTAGTATGCATTACGTATTACAAGGAAAATATACAATATAAATGCAATATTATATAATGTTGCAAATATATATAATAGTGCATTCATATTATATATTTTCTTCATAATACGTAATGCAATTGCAATATATAATATGAATGTAAGATTTATCTCTCGATATTCTAAATAAAATCACAGCAATTGATACTATTTATAAAAATGTTTCACATATATTACTGATAAATATATATATTGTTATAATATTTAACATATATTTTATTTACATGTAACATTTAAATAATATGTCTTAGATCTTATCTTAATATTAATAACGATATAGATATAGTGTTATACAATATATATATTTTAGTTTTATCTATTGATTATTAACAATTGAGTGTAATAGAATCAAATATTTTTTTTGTTGAAAATATACAATAAAACGACAAAAATATTTATGGAATATCTAAACACCAAATGTCTAAAAAGTATTTACAAAATGTCTTTTATATAATATATATATCAAACGTTCAAAAATATATATTTATATAAACTACAATATTATATTAATTATAATAAATTAATTCTTGTGTTATTATTTATTATATATTAGTAAAGAGTTTTTATTAACTTTAAAATAGGTTTTGGATTTTTGACTCACCGTGTCTAACGCTTAACGGACTTGTAGGACTTCGTGGATGTTCCGAAGATGTTTCATTAGGTGTTTGTTGATGTGGATGCTGATGTTCTTCAGTAGCTGTGACAGTCGGTGTTCCATTCATCTCGGCTCTTCAATCATTCACGCCGCGCGTTGTCGGCTTGCAGATCAAACTTTCTGAAACTTTTATATATATATATATGAATTTTTCCATACGTATGTATATTAACGATTGATTAAAAATGTATTAAGTATATTTATATTAGTAACTTTCAAAGTAGCTATTATTACTTGTTCAAAAGTATAATTTTACAACTGTAAATTAAGTTGTTTGTTTGTTATTTTTGTAATAAAACATTTTTGATCACTTTTTTAACACTGCCAATTACGAGTTAACTCATAGTCATCTGTCTGGCCTTGGAAGCCACTACAAGGTATCTCATACTTGACAATGTTTTGTTCGTTGCTTTCTACGAGTCTTCCTAATATACGCAATGCAAAGGTGTTGAGTATTTGTATAAGTTCGTATGACAATGTATTGGCATAAAAAAACAGAAGCTGTAATTTTCATTACAAATTTTTGATACAAAACCAGAAATAATTTAGCTGAATTTTTTTCGCAGCAAGACAAGAACCAGAAGTATCAAAATCATCATGCTATCAGTCAAGATCTATAAAATAAAACGGTTCAAACAATTTAGCATTTTTAAACCAGATTTACTAAATTCGTGACAGTCAATATATTAAATATTACGTTAATCTTTACCAAAGAATGTGTTTTGGTTTAAACTTTAACATACACTAGAGCTACTGACACATACACACACACACACACACACACACACACATATATATATATATATACATGACGTTATTGCAAATTTGCGGTACTATTCGATTTCCTAACCTAAATGCTGAACGCATATTTTCAACCATCCTGTGTCATTCAGATATCCGGAAAAGTGAAATAAAAAATAATAACAACTGTAACAACAATTTTCAGCTTATATAATGTGAAACTAACAAAGATTTATTTAGTCAATAAAAAATAATAACAAATAAAATACAATAAATAATAATTTTGTCAAAAAAATAGTTTACTTATTAAAAAAATACAGAATAATTCATAATATAAGTACTACGCGTATCTGGATATAGGTGTATAATACAAATACATATAATACGGACTCTTGAAACACGTGTTAGACATTCTGGTGTTACCAATAAATTTAGAATAAAGTTTACTATTCTTAATTATAATAAAGTTTTACTATTTAGATACTTGAGTTAATCTGATCACCGGATACAAATTATCAGAGCTCTAATATACATGTATATATTATACATATGAGACATTTTCTCTAAAAATAAAAACAATATTACCTTACCTATAATAAATTCTTGTGTACTTTCACTGTGATACTTAAGGTATTTTCTTTGCTATTTTTCCACTACAACTTCTTTATCTCCTCTAATCTACGCTCATTTAGTTTTTCAAATTATTCTTCACTATTGATATCAATATTGAACTGTAACACAAGAGGCACCTCAAAAAAGCCTATATAGTCACTATCAACCACCAACAATAAACGTTAAACAAAAAAGTGAAAAAATTGAACAGGATCCACGTTTGCGCTATAGAAATCAATGTTTCGTTTCGAGATTTGCACGTAGACGAAACGACTGTTCATCGATGTCAGATTGGCGTATGATATCTGTAGCGTCCCGATCCGGGATTTCGAGGAGCGAGTCACCGCCATCCGCAGATGACGTCGGCGTCGTCATCGCCACCGTTGCCGCCGTCGTCATGGCGCTTGCCGTGTTATCGGAGGTAGCGGGCGAGTAGCGCCTTTCGCCGATTGGTCCACCGACACTTCTGAAGGCGGGATCAGGAGGCAAAGCCGGAAAAACGACAAAAACGGGGAGCGGGAGGATTTAACCTATAGCTTCCACGTTTGACGTGGCACCCTGCTGCGATGCCCGGCCCGTCGACGATGGCAACGCGCCTGCGCCAACCCCTCGACCCTTTCTCAATGACGCTTGGCGTCTCCCACTCTCTGCGTCGACTTCGGGTTAAACAGCCTACTAACTTCTACTGAAGAAGTAGATGTTGTCACGGGAAACAACGCCTCTCTAAGCGCGATGCAATTGTTGATCGTTGTTAGGCGACAGTAGAACTCTCTACCAACTCATTCTGATGTATTTGCCTGGATAAAAAAATAAATGCGTTAAATAAAAGTCTCTTGATACTTGTGTCAAAGTAACCGAATATTTTTATGTAATTTATATAAATTTATGTACCTAACCTATCTAATTTATTGTTATCTAATACACTAATACACTAATTGATCTTCTCTCCTTTCTACTGTACACATACGATAAATTATCTGATAACATATAAGAAAACAGTTTTAAACTTATTCGATGTTATCAAACTTTGATCACATTTAAATAAAACAAAAAAGTGTAAAAAAGATATTTTATCATGTGCGCATACACACGTGTCATACTATTTGTTAAATTTAAATTTATATTTTAGATTAGATAAATGCGCTATGTCACAGATAAATACATTATAGATACAAAACCTTTTCTGAAGAAACAATGTCACTTACTTAAATTTTTCTCATTGTTACTATAGAATCAACATTCAAGAGAAGTTGTTAACAGAATGTTTAATAGATCGATCGATCTTTCGACTTCTGCAGTGTGTTTTCCCAGACAAATTGAGTGACATCCATAAGAATAGGTGTGTGTAGTCTGTAAACACAGCGTCGTATGCAAGTGATATATATGGTGATGATGTAGTGGTATGCAAGGGAGGGTCTAGGGATTGTTGAATCACTCCCGCCATGCTGGATCCTTTCTATTACGCCATTGCAACTGAGGGTTGCTTTCTGGTTGCTTCGTGGCATTGCCGGTTTGGGGTTGGGCAATTGGTGCAAAAGATGCGACGCCCATCCCCAAACCGACAGTGCCACGCCCCATGACACGAACGGACCAATGACCGAGATAACATTGCTGGGATAATGTCAATACCGGCATTCACCAATAGGATTACCCTCTGATACGGTCTTTTGCTTGCGGGTGACTGCTGTGCCCTCCCTTAACCCCCTCCGGCCTATTCGCTGATTCCTTCACCAAATGGATGCTTTTCAATTCCAAGCTTGCTGTCTCACAATACGGCTAACGACCCAGCTACTATCGCTATCCACCATTGAGGATCAATATGTATGTGCGTCTATGTATGTACGCGTGCACGCGCGCGCGCGTATGCTGTGAAAGAGAGAAAAAGAGAAAAGAAAGGAAAGAAAGAGAGAGAGAGAGAGAGAGAGAGAGAGAGAGAGAGAGAGAGGAAAGGAGAAGAGGAAAAAGAGAGAAGAGATTAAGAGTGTGCAGGACGATTAAGATATTTACTATCAGCGAATTTCGATGTGCAAGAGTGTAATATGCATAACATAATATTTTCTGGATTATTGAAGCGCGGTGTATAAATTCAGAGATAGGAAATGAAAAAAATACACTTTCTTCATAAATTCTGCAAGAGAAGAAGCCTTTACATGCTTTATGACGCAAACAAGACGCGGCGAAGTGACGCAATAATCAATATGCTGCTTTTCCATAAGAACAAACTGCTTAGTTACCGCATAGAAGTAGTCTATAGAAGTTATTCTCCTGCAACCGCTGATGATCAATATTCTCCCGCTACCTAATTAACGTCGATAGAGCATTAAAACAAAAGACACTGCATTTCGATGAACAATTAATTTTTTAAATGTTTGAATTTATAATTTATTCTTTTTCTTTTATACTCTTTTTTTGTTATTACATATTTTATTGAGTATATATTATACATGTATATATAAAAGAATCTAAACATTGGATTGCTGTTTTCCATTAGTATGTCTTATCGTTTATTATGATATAGTATCTTTTGTTTTGACGTTCTGTACATATATAGTTTTTCAATTGACGCTACTACTTTATTATTATTATAATATATATCACGTCTTTTGTAGAAAAGATTTTGTAGATAAATTTGTAGTAGTTATATATTACTTCTTTTGTAGAAGAGATTTTGTAGACATTTTGTAGTAAATTATTATAATTGTAAATAAATATGTAGTATATTATTATAATTATAAAACAAAAGTTTACTTGGTGTTACTGTTTGATATCACTTTTTTTGTAAAACAGATTTTTTAAAGAAATAATTGTTTGTAGTTTATAATACAGAGAAAAAGAATTTTTTGTAGCATTAAATCAATTTTTAATTTATTACTTTTTAAAAATACGCATCACATTCATAAACCAACATGAGTAAAGTATGAACATGTATTGAGAATATAGTAATAAAACAATAAACTTTTACAAACTGTTATATTCTTTAAAAATACAATATTATATATTTTTTTTAATACAGTGTTTGTAGGTTTCTTTTTTAAGTTTTGAGAGCACTAATGTCTATAAAACCCTATTGTTTGTAAATACATATGGAAAAAAGAGGGCCCACTTTAGCAATCATATGGAAGGGCCGACATAAGCCACCGACTTGCAAACTCAAAAAAGACAGTTATTACTTACATTTAAACTATATAAAAATGTAGCATATCTAGTCAGGATTTTTACTGTACACAGTATGTCTGACAATTGGTGTAACATCACTTGTAGACAGGTAGAAGTAGTAAAACTGAGAGAGAGAGAGAGAGAGAGAGAGAGAGAGAGAGAGAGAGAGAGAGAGAGAGAGAGAGAGAGAGAGAGAGAGAGAGAGAGAGAGAGAGAGAGAGAGAGAGAGAGAGAGAGAGAGAGAGAAATCGCCACTCAGTATTCTATCAAATAATTATTCCTGTGTTGACATTCCCCTTTCAATCTTTTTACGATTTATTGCTTGTCATTATACAGGGTGTATAAAAAGTACCAAAACGGCAAAATATCTCAAAAACTAAACATTTTAGGAAAAAGTGTTTTAGACAAAATTTGTAAGATTGAGAAAGGTTTATTTACTAATTTTATCAGTTTGACCTTGGATGGCGTCGTCAGGCAAGATCAGGTCACATCAATGTTTTAAAATGAAACTCTTTATTTTTTTAAATCAACAACGCAAAGTATAACCGGTCAATGAGAGCCTGGATGTTTGTGCAAAATATACAGGGTGTCCCATTTAAGTTGACACAGCAAAATACAGTCAAATCTCCCAAAACGTATACTTCCCCTATTCCTACACTCTTTATCTCACGCATGCGCAAAGACTTACTTTACATAAATTCATTTCGCACTAGCGCAGTTTCGGTTGTAATCATACTTACAAGGGGAGCACCAGACATTGTCCCCTCCGATTCGGCTGAAATTTATATACATTGTAGGTCTACCCTCCCACTAATTCGTCGTAAAATATTACGACGCGCTTCTCAAGCATCCGCGAGAAAAACGCATTTAAAGTTTTGCGTGTACCTTATGTAGCATAAAATAAGTATAGGTTGGCAGCTAAGGGGCGTGGCTTAGCGCGTAAGGCGCGCGGCTATCACGCTGCGTATCGCCGGTTCGAATCCTTTTTCAGGAAAAATTTTTTTTTTTTTTTTAATTTATGTTGTCGCATATTATACATTCTTATAGATATGTATTTTTTATATTTTAATTCAACAATTAGTTTTTGAATTATAATTTAAATTATAACATTAATTATATTTCAGAATTATGACATTTATTTATTTCTAATGCGTTAACTGTTGTGTAATTTCACTTTATAAACATGTTATGCAAGGAAAGTCTTATATGATATACATACAAAAAAAGAAATAAAAACGAAAAAAAATACAGAGAAGAACATTGAAAACGTTTATTATAATTTACATAAAATTACTCATTCTCGTTGTCAGATTCAACCTTGAATGGAGTACATATTTTGGGATGATATTCATCATAAAAACACGTAAAACATAATACTTTTCTGCAGTGAGCACACTGAATAAAACTTCCATTTTTACAGATG